AAATATATTTTAAGTATAAATATATTTATATTTATAATCTTTATATTAACATTATTTATTTATTATAAAAATATAAAGTAAAACCACTAGTCATTATTTTTATTAGAAGAATTTAGAAAAATAAAATAAATTGGTAAAAAATAGCCTGAGATCAATAACTTGGGTCTCTTCTAGATTAAGGGCATAATTTATTTCAGAACTGGTAAACTGCCTTTTTCTAGCCTCTTCAGATACAGATCTTAAGAGTCTTAGCATGGATCTGATTTCAATGACTTATTTCTAGGGAGACGGGCAGTTTGTGCAGTAGTTGAGGGCAAAGATACAGATCATGTTTTATAAATTAAATCAGTATTTTGAATTGCACTAGGTAATGAATGAGCAGCCTAGTGTAAACAAAGGGATGTTGAAGCAGAATTTCACCTGATCCTTATCCTTTAGTAAATTTTTCTCCATTTGTAGTTCTTGGTGGTGCTCAAATAGAATATTTGTGATAAAACCTGAATGGATTTCTGCCTAAAAATTTATTTTATTTCACAGGAATATATTTTTGGGAGAGACCTTTTCCAGTTATATCAGCGTTCATAATGATAGCAATCAAGTTGTAAAAGACATATTGGTAAAAGTAAGTGGTATTCTTGTTTGGAACATATTTTTTACAGAAAACTTTTTAATTTTTACTGTTATCTTTTTGAAACTTCATTATAATGCATGTTTGATACTGGACTTTTTAATTGTCATTAATAACAAGCATTAATTGAACATCTAAAGGTATAACATATGCTAAGTACAGAATCATTTTTCCTTATCCTGAAAGTTTGTGATAGCTTGAGTGAGAAAATGTACAGTCAAGAGTAAATAACAGTTTGTTTTTATTAATAATTTGTGATTAACATGATAAAATTTGAAAGAGGAAGAAATAGCATAGAGGATTGTATCCATCAGGAAAGTTTTTTGGAGGAGAGGGAACACAAGAAGATATTGAAAGAATGGTAGGATTTAGGGAAAAAGGCAAAAGGGACATGGTAATCTGAGGCAGAGACATGGGAATACATAATGTGTTCTTGTAGCAGTGAACGGAATTCACTTGGTAAGAGTAAATAAGGTGGGACAGATGTGTAGTAGCCATACAGTGGAGCATCTTGAAAGCCAGGCTAAGGTTTTAGCCTTTTTCTTTTTAAGACAATGGGCAGTCAGTGGACACTTTTGAGAAGAGGTATTCACAGTGTTAGAAGACTGATATGAAAGCATTATGTGGAGCAGTTTGTAGGAAATAGACCAGTTAGAAGATTCTTGCAGTATTTTTGTCTAGATGAAGACTACTGGTGGCTTTGCATTCTGTGAAATGCAGTTTGGGGTGCTTTGATATTCCTAGTTCAAGAACACCCTCTTATAGCAGCAATTCACAATGAAGAATGGCAAGTATACATATCTATGCACCAAACAGCACAGCCTTTATAAAACAAAAAGTGTAACAGAGATAAAAAGAAACATACTAATAATATGAGATTCACCTGTCACTTGCACAAGAAAAGACCAAGTTGACAAAAGAAAAGAAAGTAAAGATAGAGAAGACCTAACAACAGCTACCCAGAATTCTGCCCTCAAAACTTTAATTTTTTACAGTTTTTGGAATTTTGGAATTGTGGAAAAGAGATTGTGGATCTGTGCTTTTTTTATTCCTTTACTGTCATTTTGGGTTTTTTTTTTTTTTGAGAATAAAAATGCTTGTATAATCTACCATGTTTAACTGGAAACCACTAGTTTTTTTGTTTTGTAATTGAAAAAAAATTTCACCCTTAAGTCTGAAAACCTTAGCATGCTACAAAAAAAACATAAAGTGTTCTATAAACAAAAAACAATATAATTAGTGTGCTATAAATAAAAAATAGTAGATAACTCTTATGGTCTATACCAGTGGTTCTCAAACTTTAGAAGGTATTAAAATCATCTGGAGGGCTTGTGAAAACACTGGTTGCTGAACCTCATCCTCACAGTTTCTGATTTAATCAGTCTGAAATGGTGCCCAAGAATTAACTTTTCTAACATGTTCCCAGGTGATGCTGATTCTGTTGGTCTGGGAACCATACTTTGAGAACGACCGGTGTATAATAGGCATTCACTCATTCATTCAAGAGGTATATAGTCCAGGCACCATCTAGATACTGGGGTTATAGCAAGAAACAAAGCAGACAAGGCCTCTATTCTCTTCAAGCTTATTCTAAATGTTTTTAAATGTTTTTTCTCTGTTTCTGAACATGAATCCCTTAGTTATACCAAACTCTTTCTTCATGGCCTCTGAAGACATCTTGAGCTTTCACACTTAAGGTGTTTTGCTAGCTCTGTTTAACTTACTTGAAATGATCTCCCTCTCTGTTTTCCCCTCTGTCTGTTCACGGTCTGCTCATCCAAAAACCAGTTTGCAGCATGAAGCCTACTCTGCAATTTAAATTGCATTCCCCTACCCTAAGCCAGCCCTCTGTTCCTCCTCTTCTCTGCTGTTATTTTCCCCAAACGTTTAAACTCCACAGAGGCAGGGATTTTGGTCTGTTTTGTTCACTGGTGTATCTCCAGCTTCTGGAAAAGCCCTGGCATATAGAAGGTAATTAGGAGATAAATGTTCAGGCAGCATTATTTATAATAGTGAAAAAGGAGAAAGGTAAAAGTGTTCAGCCGTATATAATATACGCTGTAGTTATGATTAATGTTTGGAAAATGACACATAGGAAAACATTGGACAGTTAACTGCTTCCTTTTTTCCCCCTCTTCTCTAATTTCTAAAATGTTTGTTAAAGAATTTTCAATATCAGCTCCATTACTTATTAGTTGTATAACCTTGGGGAAGTTGTTTCTTCT